TTGGGTGGGAGAGCATTCAGACAGTGCTGCAGAAGCAGCTGTCATCGATAGATCTGCACCATCATATGAAACCTTGTTCACTGCACCAATAGTGTGCTTTCCTAAGGGTCAGCACCCAAGAGGGCTCAGCTACATCCCAGGTGGCAGCAGAACTTGGTAATGCTGTGTATGTCATCCATGTTGTTCTGGTTTTGATGGTATGAAAGATGAGAAAGGATGAAAGGGCATCCTGGAGAGCAGGCACCCTGGGGCAAGAGTTGCTGCAGAGGCACTGGGAGGCCATGGCACAAAAATGTGCCAGTGAAGCCTCAGTTACGATGGCGATACTAGGATACTAAAGACTGTGGGATGTTCACCAGTAAGAACTCAGGTGTAAGCTAGCCTAAGCCTGCAAGTGAAGTTCGTTATCTGTGCTGCAAGTGCCAGAGCTAGGTGGAACTACCAAAGCCCTTCAGAACCAGAGGACAGCATCATGTGCTCCACACCACTAGACATGCAGCTGGAAGACCTGCTGTCCTGACTGCTGATTTGTGGAGGTGTTCTGGTGTGACGATTCGTTTTCTATGGTGTATTATTCCTGCTTAGAAGAAGGCTGTGAACATGTAAACATGTGGAAAGTGTGTAACTTGTTTTTCATTTTATAAAGGTTCTCAGTTAAGATATTTTGGACTTTCAAAGACTTTGGTGAGTTTTCAAGTTGGCCTATATTTCATGAGGTAAATGGGAGACTTTGGGTAAAAGACTGTGCTTTAAAGTAATATTTTTGCATGTCAAGTTCACAAAGGATCAAGTTGTGACCATTCCTTTTAATTGTCAATGTGATACAACCTGGGCAGATAGTCTCAAGTGAGGGGTTGCAGTAGCAGCCAGGAACTCTCTCTGTTGTGACAGGACAGCATCAAGCTCCTGCTGTCTTGGTGTTCCTGCTTTAATGGAGTACAACCTGGACTCCAGATAAAATGAGCTCTTTCAACTCACAGTTGCTTCTTGTCAGTATATTCTACCACAGCAACAGAAACAGAACTAGGACATGAGCGATCTCAAAAAAAAAAACAATTAAGGCACATTTCATTTGAGTTTCTAGAAACAAGGAGCTGCTACAATAAAGCAGAATGAAATCGGATATACTGTGGAGAGCCAAGTGGCGACACCTATGCTTACCTTCCATGTCCAAACTATGGTATGTGCAAGAAAAAAAGTGTTGGTTTTAAGAGCCTTTTAGACACATAGAAGACAGTGTGCACTGAACATAACAAAGAGTACATGAAGAACATTTATACACGTGGAAGATAAAGAAAGCGCCAGGTAGAGCCTGACCAATAAAGTTGCAGAAGCTTGCAACTAACCATTGGACTGAGCACAGGGTCCCCAGTGGAGGAGTTAGGGGAAGGACTGAAGGAGCTGAGGGGGTTTACAACCCATAGGAAGAACAACAATACCAACCAACCAGACCCCCCCCAGAGCTCCCAGGGACTAAACCACAGACCAAAGAGTACACATGAAGGGCAGAGGATGGCCTTATCTGGCATCAATGGGAGGGAAGACCCTTGATCCTGTGAAGCCGAAATGCCTAGGGAAATGCCTAGGGGAATGCTAGGGTGGTGAGGCTGGAGTGGGTAGGTGGGTGGGGGAGCACCCTCATAGAAGCAGGGGAGGGGAAGAGGGGATAGGAAGTTTGTGGAGGGGAGACCAGGAAGGGAGATAACATTTGAAATGTAAATAAATAAAATAATCAATAAAAAATTTTAAAAAGAGAGAGACAGCACCAGGCAATAAAACTGCAGCCACCTATGGCAAGTATGATGACACTGGTATTCTCAATGTGGGACAAGTATAATAGTCACCTGCACATAAATGCATTTTCTGTGTCCTTCCATCATATGGGACTTACCATCATAAAATGCCCAATTGAATAACACAATCACATGCTGTAATCTCATAATCCAGAATGAGTCCTTTGTACAACCCATAACCTAGATTCTAAACCTGTTAAGATGGGTGGGGAGATAGATACAGTCACGGTTCTGGATTCTAGATGGCACTGAAGTACAGGATATACAATGTTCATGAAAAGCTTCCAAATTACCACTCATTCTGTTCTCTGGGAGACAACAGGCAACATCTGATGGTTCTGTATAAGTGGCAAAGGCTTGGTTTACAGAAAAAAAAAATAGATGAGAAGGAACAAGAGTTCCCGTGCATCTCTGAGAGTTTGGCCTGAATCCCAGATCCCTCCCAAGCTGTCCTTAATTTTATGAATGCTTTTAAGCACTTATCAACCCACAGAAGTCGTTCCTAGTTGCTTATTTACATCTTTTCCAGACCCAATCCTGTCTCACAAACAAGAAAAGACAAGAGCGTAGATGCTGAGAGTGCCTGCCCTTTCTAGCCTTGTTGCCTGGGAGTGTGCCATCAACATTAGGATCAAGAACCAGCAAAGGACGGCAGGCTGGATGAGGAGACTCTAGCCAAATTCCACTGTTAAGTGACTGAATTAAGCAACTTGTGGGATCTCCTGATTGTGTACTTTTTTGTGTGAGATAAAAAAAATATATCCTTACTATTTAAGCCACTGGCCTTGAGTGGCTGAATAGTCCCACCCTCTGAAATAATATGACACTATAAATCACATATATGCATTCATACACATTCACCTCCCTATTTTCTGAATGGAACCAAGTCTTGTAGGAGTGCTAACATTATCACCTCCTTGAACCCTGACACCCGGCTTGAGGTGAAATGTAGGTTCTGCACTCATCTGGAATCACTCCTCCCGGCACTCCCAGGTCAAAATCAAACTCCTCCATAACATCTCCTCCTTAATGCCACCTGAATCTCTAACTCGAAACGCCTCACAGGCCCACATCTGGTCTACCAATTCTTATGTCTTGCCATATTAACCATGAGCACACAATTGCACTGGCCACGGGATGCAGTCTGCTTTACCTGAAACCTGGGCTTTCCTTTCCCATTTCTTTTTGTACTGTCTCCTCAACTGACCATAAAAGAAATCACAGAAAGGAGATAAAAGAAATTTGAAGCTGAGACACCACAGGAAAAATAATTTAGAATAAAGCCCAAATTGGTATTTCTACTATGACGGCTAGGATGTTTCAAAGATATATTTATTTTTATTTTGTGAATGAATGTTTTGCCTGCATGCATGTATGTGCACCACGTGCATGTCAGGTGTCCATAGGGATCAGAAAACTGCATCAGGCCCTCTGGAGCTAGAGTTATAAACAGATTTGAGCACCATATGGGTGTTGGAAACCAAGCACAGGTCCTCTGAAAGAGCATCAAGTGCTTTTAACTGCTGAGGCACATCTCTACCCCTATGCTGGTGAGTTTTAATTGTCAACTTGACACAGTCTAGATTCGCCTGTGGAGAGAGTCTCAGTGAGATACTGTCCCGATGTGGCTGGCCTGTGGGCATGTCTGTGGAAGGTTACCTTGATTCTGTTAATAGATGCACACCAGTCACTGGTTTTGAGTCTTAGATTTTATAAGAAAATGAGCTGAACACTGGTAACCAGTTATGTATATTCTCTTTCCCTCTCCCTACCTCTCTCCCTCCCCTCACCGTGTGTGTGTGTGTGTGTGTGTGTGTGTGTGTGTGTGTGTGTGTTCATGTTTGTGGATGTGACCAGCTACTTCAAATTCCTGTTGCCATGACCTCCATGCTTTGATGGTTTATCCAACCTGGAATTGTGAACTAAAGTAAGCTCTTTCTACCCTAAGTTGTTTCAGTCAGGGTATTTTATCACAGCAACAGAAACAAAACCAAGACACCTACATTTTGGAAGTTATAGATAAGGAAAAGACACACTGGAAATGGCAACTGGGTGCCAAACCACCTCCTACTCACTACCAGATCCACTATCAACCATGTTGATAGTGAAGGAAGGTGGGCAGCTTCTTAACAAATCAGAGGTCAGCCACAGGCAACAAAGTGACTCTAGCCTGCAGTCCAATCAGTATCTGCTGGTGAGAGAAAGATAACACAGCAGAATAGGGTTAGGGATGCGAGCTTATACCTTCAGTCTTTTCCTTATAAAAACAAACTATGGATACTACTAGCAACAAAGCTATCCCGATTGTAATGAATTTCATTTGAATGTTCTGGCATAAGGATATTTTATCATGGGGCTGGAGAGATGGCTCAGTCGTTTAAAACATGTGCTGCTCTTGCAAAATGCCTGAGTTCAGTTCCCAGCACCCATGTTGGGAGGCTCACAACTATCTATAACTCTAGCTCCAGGGGAACCTGATGCTTCAGGCCTCCTTGGGTACCGGCATTCACATACACATAGACATACACACAGGTAATTAAAAAGAAAGTAGTAGTTTATAAAAGAATACTTGATCAAACTAGGTGTTCTGGCCCACATCTGTAATCCAAGCACTCAGATGCTGAGGCAAGAAAGTTGTGAGTTTAAGGCCAGCCTGGACCTACATGATACATGTACATAGCTACATTCTAAAAAGCAAAACAAAATTGATCTAAGTTGTGAAATCAAAAATGACACCTTAGGTTGTTTTTAAAATGTTAACATTCCTGAGATTGCAAGAATTCACAATGGAGGGCCATCAGCAGAAACTCTCCAGACCATCAGCAGGAAGCCTAGTACAGCACAAAGGCTGACTCTTACCTCTGCCCTTCATCCCATGTGCAGAGCTCTAGGTCTTCCCTTTCAAACACTATCACTCAGTTTTGTTACAGTGCTGTTGATTGAACATGTAGCCTTGCTCGTGCCAGGCAAGTGCTCCACACTGAACTCTGTCCCTAGAGCACTGCAGTTGTCCTCTGATGAAATGGTCCAGTATTTGCAAGGTTGACCCAGTATAGCAATAAGTTCATACTTGTGGAACTCATACCAAATAATAAAAATATGTTGACTCTTTCATTAGATAACAGCAAAGCAGCACAAACTTCTGTAGGATTACACATACTAGGAAGCTGTAGTAAATGTTCAGATGCTTAAATAAACACCACATAGTACAAAGAGCAACCAACATGGTTCTATTGAAAACTGTCTTTAACTGTGGCACCCAAGGACAGCAATACAATATTTTCTTTACAAAGTGACGATTATAAAAATCTATAAATGCACAAATTCATTTCTAGGCTATTCTCATATAGCCATGTTATCAGGATATACTTCCTTTCATTCTTTCCTGAGGTATCACTGTGGGTTGATTTTATCATACTACTGGAGAGAAGCACTGCCTCTGATCATCCTTCCCTAAAATGATTCTTAAAACCTGCAAAATTTTTATTGCATAGGACACTATTCATGACAGGGAGACTTGGGAACTGCAAATATGCTGCACTGGAACAAGTCTTACAAATATTTCATTTTAAGAATTTGTTACATACATTTTTTTACAGTTTGTCTCTTCTAAAAAATTGACCTTAGAGGTAAGAGCAAATTAAATACAATGAAGCATCTTAGGAATGTTAGTTTTAGAAAGTTAGATGAATGATACAAAGGAAAAAGCCATAATTCTTGCCGGCTATATATTGTATTGCATTCAAAAGCAACTGTACATGCTGTAATCAGTTCATAGTTAAATATTTCTACTAATCTGTTTTGGGAGAGCAAATGTCTTTCAAGGTTTCAAGCTCCTCTATAAGCTTCTTGTTCTGAACTTCCAGCACTGCAACTCGACTCTCCAGACACTTCACATACTCTTTCTTTCGACGTCGACATTCTTTAGCAGCTTCCCTGGAAAAAGTAGAAGCAAAAGGGCAAACAAAACATATGTTGCATGCTATTGGCAATAGAGCAAGCTTGGTAATGTGCAGAGAGCTGAATTCCAACCCATGGAATTGAGAACAGAATTCCCAACTCACACCCTACAGCAGACTTGTATTCTTAAGCAACAGTTAAGAGACCCATCTACAAGTCCACATGGCCATTATAAGGATTCTGCCATCACCTGCCCCGATAAGAGTTCACAGTCAACAAGGTCCAAGTCAAACACAGTTACTCTGCTTTATGGCAATAAAGGTCTTTGAGGGCCTTGAGTTCCTCAATGAGGGTCTTGTTTTGATTTTCAAGCACAGCCACACGATTTTCAAGACATTTGACATATTCTTTCTTCTTCCTGCGACACTCCCGGGCAGCTTCCCTGGAAGCAACACAAGGCAAATGACAACAGGAACAACCTCCCAGCACAATCCAGAATGGCTCCGTGAACATCCCCCCACCCCTTCTACCCAGTCAACAGCCAATCAATCTGAGGAAAGTTATACAAAGCTGCACAACAAACAGAACAAAGCATATGACTTGTAGAAAACAACAGAGCAAAGGAAGAGCACTGGTAGCTTCTTGAAAACAGTGTTCTCTTGAGCCATCCATGCCACGCTGAGAATGACCCTCTGTGTACAATAAACAACAACAAAAGGACCACATGCCCAGCAGAATCCCTACGGCAACATTCACAGAGCCTTTCAGCAGAATCCCTGCTACAATACTCGCAGAGCCTTTCAGTCCTCTCAGTTAATTTTTGGTTGTCAAAAAACACACACGCACATCACCACAAGAAAATGTCACTTAATGAAAATGAGTATAAGAGTCCTATGAAGTCTCAAATGCCAATATTGAACAGTTGTGTACTTTGAGACTAAATCTCAACAAAACAAGCACAGTTGTCAGAAAAAAACCTGACTAGAAAATACAACATAGATAAATTATAACAATAAATAAAACACATGGATGTTTATGCACCCAGGGAAAATGGGCACTGCTTGTGAAAATTATAGAATGGTATAACATGACACAAAACAATGCAGACAATTTAAGCTGACAAATGTTAGAATATCACAATTACAAATATGAAAAAGGAAGCTGGCATGGTGGTACATGTCTGTAGACCTGGCACTTTGGAGGTAGAGACAGCAGAACCATAAGTACAAAACTAGGGGCTAGAGAGATCAGTGATTACAAACACTGGGTGCTTTCCCAGAGGTCCTGGAAGATTCAATCCCAAGCACCCACATGCTGCCTCATAACTGTCTGTAACTCCAGTTCCAGGGTGGCCACCAGGCATACAAGTGTTGCACAGATATACACTCAGGCCAAATACACATACACATATTTTTTTTTAAAAAGTCAGAGCCAGCTTCATTTACCTTACAAGAACAAAGCTAGTTGGGGGTATATGGGAGCCTATCATAAATAAATAAACAGACAAATTTATGATAATGGAAGCTACTAGGTAACTGAAAAGAACTATTATGCAGTTCTCTAACCACATGCATTTAATTTACATTGAACACATTTTACAGCACTTTAAGCAAACCAAGCAAAAGAACAGACCAACCAGCACCCAAATAACTGAAACTAACAAAGATAAGCTAGTCACTTTTATGCGTGATTCCAGTAAACAATACCTAATATTGTCCCCATTTTCTCTCTCCTTTTTTTCAGAGTGGGACAGGATAGAGGCTACTTCACTTAACTGCTCTAAGGAGAGGCCCTCTGATAAAGCTTTATATGGGAGTACTTAGTTCTCAGAAATTGCCAGTCACTGTCACTCAACTGAATTCACAAAGGTAATGTTGCATGAGTAGGTAACAGTCACTGCAATGTCATTCAGCAATGCCATCCTCCAACTGTGACACACACAACAGACATGGCCAAGTGCTGTATTTTTAGAAGAATTGACTCTCATGAAATGGATCTCTCTTTCCTCATGCAAAGCAAGTCAGCAGAAAACGAATGTTGAAATCTTGATGGGCTGCAGGAAAAAGAATAAAACCTAGTTCCTAGCCAAGAGGGCTGTACTCACCCTGTGAACTCACCACGGGCTGGACAACTGGACAGTTAAAAACTAAAACATGTCAAAGTAAATGGAGCTCGGGAAAGCAGGGGTTACAGTAGTCCAAATGG